AATACAAAATAGACATCTATTTATGCCAGCTATACAAATAAAATCATTTTCATCTAATCATACAAATGGACTTGTATCTCCAGAAAGTAGATCATTGGAGAATTACCTCTGACATACAGGTGACCTGTAGTCTCAATCAAAATCAGCCAAGGACTAAATTACCTTGGAACATCAGTCCCATTTTTCTGTGCAGGAAGTCCTCAATTTACAACCATTCATTTAGTGACTGTTCAAAGTTGCACAACATTGAAGAAAGTGATTTATGACCTCTTTTCATACTTGTGACCCTTGCAGCATCTCCATGATAAAAATTTGGACCCCTGGTAATGGGAATATAAAGGTAGTCCTCAACTTATAACCATAATTGAGCCCAAAATAAGTTGCTAAGTGAGAAATTTGTTAAGTGAGCTTTGACCCATTTTACAACTTTTCTCGCCACATTTGTTAAGTGAATCCCTGGAGTTCTTAAATTAGTAACATGGTTGTTAAATGAATCTGGTTTCTCCATTCACTTTACTTATCAGAAGGTCGCAAAAGGGGATCACGACTCTGGGACACTACAGCTGTCATAAATGTGAATCAGTTGTCAAGCATCCAAATGTAAATCATGTGACCATAGCAGTGGTGCGTTTCAAAATTTTTTACTACCGGTTCTCTGGGTGTGGCTTGGTGGGCGTGGCATGGCTTGGTGGGCGTGGCAGGGGAAGGATACTGTAAAATCTCCATTCCCTCTCCACTTCAGGGCAAGAATAATGCAAAATCCCCATTTCCTCCCAATCAGCTGGGACTCGGGAGGCAGAGAATAGATGGGGACGGGGCCAGTCAGAATTTTTAGTACCGGTTCTCTGAACTACTCAAAACTTCCACTACCGGTTCTCCAGAACTGGTGAGAACCTGCTGAAACCCACCTCTGGATAGAGATGCTGCAATGATCATAAGTGTGAAAAATGGTCATAAGTCACTTTTCTCAGTGCTGTTGCAACTTCGAATGGTCACTAAATGAAATGTTGTAAGTCGAGGATTCTCTGTATTTATGAGTTACAATGTCCCAGGTTATGTGATTACCTTATGCAACCTTCTGACAAGCAAAATCAATGGAGAAGCCAAATTCACTTACCCAGCCATGTTACTAACTTAACAATTACTTACCATTCACTTACCAACCATGGCGAGAAAGGACATGAAATGTGGGGAAATTCATCTATCCCCTTGTTTTACAACCAAATTTCTACCAAGATCTTCTTTCCATTGCACTTAATGGCATTGATTTGTTTATGAAACTATACAGAAATGGTTCATAAATACTTGTGTCAGATCAAGTTATAAGATCTGTATCATCACAAAAACGCATGATGGTTGGCTTAAACATGTTCAATCATTTGAAACTGCCTGTAAGCTATTTTGAATAATGCTTCCAAGAGACATTTCCTTGCTTCAATTTTTAGATATGTGCTACTTTCTCTTTTTGAACATGTGATACATTTTAGAACTGGTATACCAATTGAAGCAAGTAATGATTTTTGTTTTAACAATTCTGTTTTGTTTTTTTATGCAAGGATTGTGTGTTCATATATATTCATTACAATGAAAAGCAGAATTAAAGCATGTTTTTGACTAACGTTATGATGCTAGATAATGCTACATTTTTAGATCTGTTGCCATGAACCTATATTTAGATTTATTGCTAAATCTAAATATAAATTCTGTACCAGTCCAAGAAATCTGAAAAAGTTCAGAGGTTAAGGTTTTGTTTTGGAAAATTTCCTTGATAAAATAATGCTAATAAATATGATGACTAAAACCAATAATTACATGAATTTTATTTCATAAATTAACTTATCACTGTTATACAAATTGAAATAAAATTACTTATGAAGAACTCATATTAAAGGCACAACTTTATGATTCATTATTGCAAAGTCTGAGGGGGATTTGAAAGTCAGCTGTTATTGCTGAACAAAAAAAAGTAAAATCTTAAAAATGCTATCAAAGCTGTTTTGTTTATTGAGAATAGTAAATTTTTCAGAAAGAGTTCTGTTTAAATCTGCTGGAAAACACAAGATCACATAGCTGCATAAGAACAGGGATCGGTAACATGATTTGATACATGTATGTTCAACATATTAATAATTTTGTTAATTAGCTATTTATATCTTCAAGGACAAAGTTACAGAACTCCCCCATTTCTCTGAATAACTGATCTTCTTACAGAATATAAATGTTTTCATTGTTTGGCAGAAGAGTACATAGCCAAGTTACCATGGCAAGTTAGTTAACAATTGACGATACTGTAGTCACAACCCCAGGAATGTCACTGTTTCCATGGAAAGACTCAGAAACAGTATGCAGGTAGTCCTCAACTTACGCCCACAATTGAGTCTCAAATTTGTGTTGCTAAGGAAGACGATTGCTGTGAATTTTATGACCTTTCTTGCCACAGTTTTCAAGTGATTCACTGCAGTTGTTAACTGAGTAACATGGGTGTATAAATGAATCTGTCTTCTCCATTGATATTTGCTTATCAGGTCACAAAAGGGGATCACATGATCCTGGGACACTGCAATCATCATAAATATATGCCAGTTGCCAAGTGTCCGAATTCTGATCATGTGACCATGGGGATGCTGCAACGGTAGTGTGAAGTCACTTTTTTCAGTGTTGTTGTAACTTTGAATTGTCACTAAATGAATGGTCGTAAATCGAAGCCTTCCTGTATATTATAGAATTATGCTGTAAATTTTATAATATGAATGTGATTATATCTGCATTAAAAACAAGATAATACTATGGGATGAATTTTCTTATCGCTATTGCAGTTATGTAGCACAAATTAATTTACATATATAATTATTTGCTAACATGGTAGAATAGATTAGCAGTTTGATACAAATAGTTCAGTGGTGGGTTTCAAAAATATTTACTACCGGTTCTGTGGGTGTGGCTTGGTGGGTGTGGCATGACTTGGTGGGCTTGGCAGAGGAAGGAAACTGCAAAATCTCTATTCCCTCCCAATCAGCTGGGACTCGGGAGGCAGAGAATAGATGGGGGTGGGGCCAGTCAGAATTTTTACTACCGGTTCTCTGAATTATTCAAAATTTCCGCTACTGATTCTCCAGAACTAGTCAGAACCTGCTGAAACCCACCTCTGAAATAGTTCCTTTTTTTCCAGACAGAAAAAATATATGTTCAGCACCTCTTGAAGCTATATAATATTCTTTGCCATGTACTTATTAGTTGAGGCCCCCTTACATGAAGGAACACCACATTGTCTTTCCTAGAATCCATCTTTCACTTTTTTTTAAACATCTGAAATAAACTATTTCTGTAACTTAATATTTTTATTTTTTCCCCAAATCTACTAATTATAAACATACACAATTACTAAATGCTCGTAAAAACTATATCGTAGTGCCTTTACTTTTATTTAGTTCTAGCTGGGCACTTTCTAAGCAGTAAATTGATAGTAGGATGTCTATTTAGTGATTTAGTGACTACTAGTGTCTACCATGTCTCAGAATTTGTGATGCAGTATAAAAAAAGCCTACTACTATTGGTATTTTGCTACAACAAAAATGATTGGATAACTAGAAGATTCTATAAATTGTTAAGTGGTGATTCTGCTGTAAAGCCAATTGTCTTTCCACTATGATCTTGAAATCTGACAATAATTCTGACAATAATTTCTAAGTTTAATTAAAATAGATTTACTAGCAGAAAACTAGGAGTACTAGCAGACTACTAATAGAAGAAGATATTTTCTCCCATAGCTCTCAATTAATTTGTGGAAGCCATTATGTACCATTATATAAGGATGCGTGAAGGCCACTAATTTGGGTGGTTTTAAAGGGGGAATTGGATAGATTCATGGAGGACAGGTCTATCAAGTATGTGAATGTGACCTTTATGGGTGGGGAAGCATGCCTCCAAATTACAGTATGAGCAAGCATATGGAAGTAAACACAAAAAATGTCCGACCAATACAATACAGAAGAAACTCTACTAATTAAAATTGCCCCAAATTTCATGAGCATTTATAGTATTATAATCATCTCCAATCTTCCTGAGAAATTTCAGACTTCTGGATTTTGCATCATTAGATAGAAAAATATAGTTTTGAGATTCATGGTGTGTGGGTATATATATAAAACGGGTGAAATTCAAATTTTTTTCCTAGTGGTTCTGTGGGCGTGGTTTGGTGGATGTGGTAGGGGAAGGATACTGCAAAATCTCCATTCCCACCCACTCTGGGGCCAGCCAAAGGTGATATTTACTGGTTCTCCGAACTACTCAAAATTTCTGCTACCAATGCTCCAAAACCTGTTAGAACCTGCTGGATTTCACCCCTGATATAAAGCTGTATTTAGAGAAAGGCAGATGGATCCGATTTTGGTTAGCAGGGTATTTTACTCATCTTTGCTACATTTTCATTATGAGTGGAAGTGACATTTTCTGCTCTTACCAAACAACCCACCCTGCTTTGGGGCATTATACATTTTTGCATAAATGCCTCTGGCATTTGTTACTCCATCTCCCGTAACTCTCTTTCAAATGTGCTGATTTCATATTTTTGGTTCCTCTCACAGCTAGTGGAATAGGGCAGGGTACCAATAACACACCAGTGGGTGCTTCTGCAGGGGGAAAAAAAATCCTTCAGAAGATCATGTTTGCCCCAGCACATAAGGGTGTTAATGTATGGAGGCCCTTCGCTTGGCCTTAGGCCAGCTTGGAGGGAGCCAAAATGCATTTGTCTCAGTTTCTCCTGTTCAGCCCTGGGCGTCCACTTTAGCAGTCCCAGCTCCAGAAGTCTGGAGCGAAAACAAGCCAGTACCAAGCCTCCCAGACATAAAGCAGCTCCCCTGGGCGAGAGAAGGCGGGCCTGGCTACGCATAGATCGACCCCCTTTTGCAGGCCTAGTTGGCTGCTGCTTTTGCGACCGTTTCTATAGGAGGAGGGAGCGATGCTGCTGCTGCTGCTGGGGATGGTTATGTCAGGCGGGAAGCCGGAGAAGGCGGGCGGCGGAGGGAGGAGGAGGAGGAGCAGCAGCGAGAGGACCGCACTAGCTCCACAACCAAGGAGCAATGCCGCACCGCGGAGCAGGATCCTGGTTCCAGTCCCAGAGCAAACCCAGCGGAGCGGCTCTTACCACCCTCTTGCTGACAGGTTGGTCTCTGCTGAGCCCCCGCTTGGACCCAGCCCTTCCCGCTTAGATGGCACATCCTCCTTCGGTCACGGCCTGCCACACCGTTGTTCCCCATGGCCGTCCCTTATCAAGCGGGGGATTCCCTCCTTCTCGTCTCTGCCCTGATGCCAGCCTTCTGTCGCGGCTCCCGCTGCAGCGGCTCGCTGTTTTTCCCTGCACGCCCTTCCTAAAGCAGCTGCCCCGGGAGGGTTCAAAAAAAAAATTTTTTTTTGTTTTGCGGGCAAGAAAGGAGGGAGCAGTTGGGATAGTTGCCTGAAAAAGGCATTGCCTTCCCTGGCCAGATGCCATTCCCTTCCCCCTTTCATAACATCAGGGCATGTTGCAGAAAAATATTTTTAAAGATGTATTACTGGTGTGTTTTTTTACAATCATGAAAAAAAAAACCCCACAAACACGAGCAGATTACCTTAGAGAGGAATATATTTAAGGATCAACTGATTTTAGATGATAACACATGGTGTGTTTAAAATATATTGCAGAAGGTCCAATAATTTTTTAGAACTTGCATGTCGAAGAAAATAGAGGAAAATGTGCTTTAAAAAATAATAAGGCAACATGTATGCAGAGGTGTTATAATCTCCCCACCTTTTCTCCTCCATATAGTTCTAAACTGTATGAAAGCTTTCTGTCATTCCTGGGCTTGGAATAACAGGCACATTTTTCCTTTCTTGGTTATGTGGATAAAAGCTGAGCAATACCAGCAAATGGAGATGAAAGTATCCTGCTAACCAAAAAAGGAAAACATATGTAAATACTTGTCTCAGGAAGAGAAGACATAGAACAAGACCTGCTCAACAAAATAAATCTTGAATGGGGTAAATTCAGAAAGACAACAATCTCAAATATTGGTTTTTTTTGGAGTTTTTTTCTTCTCCCCAAATGATTAATTGTTCACATTCTAATAATATGTGATGACTACTGTATTTATGATTAAGTAATTGCCTTTAAGGTTATGGTAAGAGAGCTAAAGCTACATAGTACAGATAGTCCTCGACTTTACAACAGTTCATTTAGTGACCATTCAAAGCATTGAAAACAGTGACTTACAACTGTTTTTCACAGTTACAACCTTTGCAGCATCCCCATGATCATGTGTTCAAAATTCAGACATTTGGCAGCTGACTTGTATTTATTACAATTGCAGTGTCCCAGGGGATCATGTGATCACTTTTTGCAATCTTCTGAGAAGCAAAGTCAATGGGGAAACCAGATTCACTTAACAACCATGTTGCTAACTTAACAACTAAAGTGATTCACTTAACAACTATGGCAAGAAATGTTTTAAAATTGGGCAAAATTAACTTAACAAATTCTCACTTTATAAATTTTGGGCTCAATTGTGGTCATAAATCAAGGATTACCTGTATTAACTGTTAAAGTAAAAAAAAATATAATGTGGAACATGCACCTTTGAGATTTATTGCCTGTTTCTTCAGGTAATAAGAATCAGTGGTCCATGTTATTCAGTTCTGGCTAAATTACGGCTCTCTAAGGATGTTTCATCTACCATAAGTAATTGATATATAAGGTATGTACTATATCTTTGAATGTTGACATTTCTCAGTGGTCTTACTTTTTAATAGTGAAACATTATTAAAAAGTGAAATTACAATAGTAAATTAACACAAACTAAAAATAAAAGAATAAAATAAAAAATAGAGGGGTTCAGAAACAAAAGAAGAAAGAAATGGAAAAAAGGAAAAAACATAATAAAGAAAAAGAAATGTATAAAGAATTTACTTTCCCCTTAAACAAGTATAAACAATTTTAGTAACTTCTCTTCTTAAAACATGACAAATGATCTCTTCTTAGCATATCCTATCTGTTATCTGTAAACAATTCTTTAAAAAAACCCATTTCAGTATTGATGTCAGCAAAAGTTCATTAAAAGTCAGTAGAGATAACAACATACCTATTTTAATCTTGATCAAATAAACTAATTTCATATTACTTTCTTTTTACTTTTCATTTTTTCTTTATCCCTTTTCATAAAATTTTTCTAAGTTTTAACAAGCCACTTTTGTAAATTTTAATACAGGAAAATGATCTAAAATTTTCTCCTGGATTGTTACTTGTGTATCTCTTTTAATTATTAAAACAATGGGTGACTTCTTTGTATGACCTGTGTAGCATCATTATCCATATCATTCTTGTAGCCTGTCATTTTTAAATTCATTTTCAGATCAGTCTCAGTCTTGAAAGGCAAAATCTGTTCTTCTATAACATTTTAAATACAGTATATCTATAGTGATAGATACTTTTAAGATTAACTTTTGAGTCTATTGTTCAAAAATATTCTTCAATATGACCAATGTTAAAATATTTTGTTTCATGCTGTATCTATAAGTTGAATCTAAGTTTTCTTCTCCTTTAACTGCAATCTTTGGTTCCTTCTACTTTCCTCTAGCGTCAAAGTCAAAGTCCTATTCTATCAAGTTTTTTCTAAAATAATTCAAAACAAAAGCATTTTCCTGTGGGGATGATTTATACTTAATTCCAACATCTTATTTCACATCCATCTGAGCCTGAGTCCATTTGTAACTTTGCCAAAACAAAGTTCTAACTCTCCATTTGCTATTTATTAAAAAAGGGCCTTAAAGTTTCATTTAAAATTCCTTTTACTAATTATAGAAGGAAACTCATCTGATATTTTTAGATTTGTCAATCCAAAGATTCTTTATAGCTAAAAAGCATCTATCCAAAGGTGATAGAAAATAAAGTATATGAACTTTTAAAGTTGCTGACCATGATTTGAGCAAGATGGCTACATTCTTGTCCCTCATAGTGCTAAATGTATTAGAAACCAGTATGTTATGGTCCCCTTGCAAGAAGCAAGTGTCTGGAGCGCTAGTGGGCAATCTCAAATCCTTCTTTTGTCCAGAGAGGAATTGCAAAGAACTGGCCAGCTCATTGGTGGTTTGCCTTACCAGATAGACCAGATAGGAAACACAATCAGATAAGCTAATTCCATATTATCGTAAAGCTACATTAACAGAATCTTGCAAGTATGAAAGTACAATTGTCCCACTGCCTGCTTTACAGCCTGAGCAACTATTGAGAGTTCCTTTTACGCCACTTGCTCTGCCCACTATCCAGCTGTAGCTTTTCTGACCTCGTCTGACTGTTCCCTAGGCAGCATCTCTTTGTCCCATCTCACAAGTTTTTCCTACATAATATTACACCAGCACTTTATTCTAGTTTCCCCATGCTCTGATGGTCTGAAAGAAGTTCTAAGTTCATATAACTTTTTATGCAAGCTATGTGCAAGCATTAAATATTCTGCTGCTAGATTTACAAGATTGAATACTGTATGTATTACATCTATTTTCCAACAAGCTTCCAGTTTTTAAATCTTGGAATGAATACACATAAAATAGGATGATCACTTCCTGCAAAACTGAGGAGAAATAGCTTTGAACTTTTGGTACAATATAGTGACTTAGAATTTGCAGTAAAATCCACAAATTATTAAAGAAAACTAACCAAATAATTCAACAAATATTCCTTATTCTGTAATTACAAATCACAATAAAGATAAAAAGATATTAAAGTCTATGAATGAGAGTGTTAACAATTAAAATTGTTAATTGTTAATTAACAATTAAAAAAACCAGGTTAAAGGAGGTATGTAAATGAGTCATTTTATTAAAAATAGAAGTTAGAACTTGGAAAGTAAATTGCTGTAAATTCTTACTGAAGTATATATAGGTATTTTAATATTAATATGTGATTCTTGATAAATGAAATAAAATAAATAAAGTAAATTATAGTAGTTTAAACTTGTAGTATAGTGATATAAACTAGCTTTTTTCCTTATCACATTCAGCAGTGATGTTTGCTTAACATATTTCATATTTTTGTACCATTTTGTCATTGATGTTGCATGCAAATAGAAGTTTGACTGTAAATATCTCTATCCCCAGGCCTTTGCGTTTGAATAGTATGCACAAAGATTTGCAAAACAATTTTTAGACAATCATGCTCATTCAGCAGGACACTGAATGTTTACAACATCCTTTTATATGATCATAGGAGATTGGAAATACTTGTGATCTTGTTCATGAGGCTAAAACTGATTTCTGGCCTTGAAATCAGGGTTGATTGTACTAAAACACTTTTATAAGCAGGGTGTGCACATATTAGCCAATAAGTTCAAATAGAAAGGATATCCTAAATTAGGTACCTGTAATTCTGGTAATGTTTCTGATCTTTTTTGGAACTCATTCAATTTTTAGAAAGTTTTGTGAACATTATTACAGTCATAGAATAGCTGCTTATTTTAGGATTGGTGAATCATAACATTTATTGCATAAACAGCCAAAAGAATTCCACAAAATACACTCCCTTTTAGAAATCTCTCTCTTCTTTCGCTCGTCTCTCCTACCCCAAACCCATATCCCTTTCCCCATATGATGTCTAAAAGTGTATGTTTTTGTTTGTTTGTTTTACACATGAATATTGCATGCATACACATCACTACATCTATATAGTCAGGGGCACAAAATGTATACTTTATTAATTCTTCTACAAAAATACATATTTTTGCATAACTTCTGTAATCCCAATGTAACTGAGTGGTTTGTATGGGAATGTAGTGGAATATTATCAAAGAAGTCAATATACAACAAAAATAAACGAAAAAATACGCATAACAGAAGGTTGGAAAATAATGATAATGCAACACATTATTTCTATCAGCCACCGGGGGGCAGTATACAACTGCTTTTATCCTAGATGGGGATTCTTCAGTCAGTCCTTTCTCTTCAAATATACTTAAGTTCAAATGTACTTGAGAATTGGATGTATGGACCATTGCACTTTAGATTATTTGGTATAGTGCATTAACTTCAGGAATTATCCTGTCCTGGAGCTTAGTAGTGTTTGAGGAAGAAATATATAGAATTGATCACTTCATTTTTCCATAAGCTATTGGTGCAGAAGAGATATGGATATTATTTTA